TCTTCTTTGCATTGTTTGACACGATGTAAGTTTCTGATGGGGATGAATTCAACAACATGACATGATGCTGTTATTGGTCAAGTGAAATCCACTCTTACCTTACGCCATGTCATCACATTTCAAACATTTCATTTGCTGCATTCATAATGTAGCGTTTAGTATGTTGTAGTAGAGTTATGTAAGTAGAGTTATGTTGGGTGCTCTCTGAAGCCTAAGTCTATTGTGCATGATGCCGCGCATGGCCTAACATTTTAATTTTGTCATAGGTCAATTCACAGAATTGTTTTTTGACAGATTGTGGGTGACCGCATGGCTGGAAGTATATTTTTATATCAGCTTGAGAGTTAGACAGCCCAAAACATTAGCCTATGTGGCGTGTCTTGGTCGTGACAGACCCCGTGTGACGATTAGGTCAGCCCTACCTCTTCCTCCTCCTCGTCCACCTTTCAGTGTTTTTAAACGGCTTTTAATGGTTTCCTAGGTTTACGAGTGCCATCGGCACAGAGAGGAAGAAGTGATCAACCGCTGGGGTACACCCGGACCGAAGAAGAAAGAAAACTGCAACGCACGCGCGTTCAGTGTCTAATTGCAGCCATAGCAAGCCCGGGGCATCCGTTTTATTGCGTTTTGATGCAACCTACATTTTTTTTTTCAAAAATAAATTGAGTGCGTGTACCTTTGGCTGGATTTTTCATAGCCATCTACGCTAATAGCTTGTAACAAATACCTACAAACCAAAAACCTACAAAGAAACCCCAAAAATGGATATAGCTGTTAGCTACCTGAAATATGTTGTACATATATAATAAAGCCCTACCAAAATACATAGTTTTGAACAAATAGGTATATACTCATAGTTTTAACCCTAGCTATAATAAGTGACGCAGCCGTGGATTTTGCCAATATGCAGCAGCACAGACAACAGTAAAAACATTTTATCGGCTGGCGAAGAATAAGCCTTTTCTAGAAACAACCTTTCGGAATGTTTCATAACTTGCTATCTAGTATTCAAACGTCGCCAGCGCGTTCTTTGATGGCTAATGACATACCCCAGCAGCCATGGACTAAAAGCGAATAAATTGTACGCATTGGTACGGAAATAACCTCATGCACTGTAACGCATCCTGGTAAGAACCAATACCGTGCTGGTTTGTGCATTACGGAGAAGTCGCGCATGTCCGCGTCTATTTTTATGGAAGACGAATCAGCTCTCGTCACTGTAAGCTGGCAATATCCGCGTCTCCTTCGCTGGCAACGTCACGGCGCATTTGTTACACTCCGTCTTCGCCAGTGGCGGGTGCGGCCATTCGGTCTTGTTGCGGGGTCGTTCGGGACGTGCCAAGTCGCGGCGCACGGGTGGCGCGACCCACACGAGTCGGCACGCAAGCAACAGCCAAAATACCGGGCCGTGTCGGCGTCTCAAGCGGCTCTCCTACGTCCGTGTCCTCCTCCCGGCGGAGTCCTCGGGACGGCGCGGCGGCGCCGTTATTAGACCAGCAGCGATGCCGCTGGAAAGTTGGCAGCGAAGGTGGAGCGGCCGCGGGCTATACGTCGCGGTCTCGGCTTTCAGTCGGCCGTCACTGCACGCGCCGCGTCCGCCTGGCGTGCGCGTGACCGGCTTTGAAAACGTCGCTCCAGTTAGGCATCAGCGACGCGTATGACGTCATACTTTGTCGTCATTGAGCATGCTTTCGATCAGTGACGTTAGCCTCCGCAGAGGCCGCTAACACGCGAGTCACTACGGATGTTGTATGTAATCAATAGCATGCCCCTCATCAGCAGCTTGTTGCCGCGCTGCCAGAGAGAAGTTGACGGAAAAGCTCGATGTTCGTCGTCCAAACTCCATCATTTGAGCGTCCATTCATGAGCTACGTTCGCCAGCGCTCCGTTAACAACAGTCATCAGCACTGCTCCGGGTGCACGTCACCTGAGCTCTGTCATCGCCCTGACCCTTACCACCAGCGGCCCCGGCGCCCATCCGCCGGCCAGCACCGAGCCCCGGCGGCCGCGCGTGACGCACGCATCCATCGTCCGGTCATCGCCGAGCCGGCCGGCGCTACTCACACTGCAGCTTCTCGTCCAGGCTGCCGCGGGAGGTGATGGACAGCGCGCGGATGAACTCCTCGAACGTAATGCTGCCGTCCTGCGGATCAGGTCCGGCGGGTCAGGCCAGACGCAATAGAACAGACGGGTCTGGTCAGGACAGTCGGATCAGGTCAGGCGGGTCAGATCAGACGGCTCAGGCCCAGCAGGCAAGATGTGTCAGATCAGGCAGGTCAGCTCTGTCATACCAGGTGGGTCAGGTGAGGCACCTCAGGTCAGAGGGCTCAGGGCAGGGGGCAAAGCCAGGGTCAGGTGGTACGGGTCAGGCCAGGCGGTCTAGGCTAAGAAGCTTAGGTCAGATGGGCCAGGCCAGGTTAGACGGTTCAGATGAGTTTGGGCGAGTTGCGTTGGGCGAGTTAAGTTAGGCGGGTGGGCTTAGACGGATTAGGTATGATTAGGCGCGTCTGGTGAAGTTAGGCGAGTCAGGTTAGGTTAGGCGAGTAAGGCCAGATAAGGCGGGATGGAGTCAGGTTAGGAAGGTGATGCTAAGTTAGGTGAGTCAGGTCAGGTTATGCAGCTGAGGTCAGGTCAGGTGGGTAATGCCAGGTCAGGCGGGTCAGGTCAGGTCCGGTTAGGCGATTCAAGTCAATTTAGGCAGCTGAGGTCAGGTTAGGTGTGTGAGGTTGGGTAAGGCAGCTGAGGTCAGGTTAGGCAGCTGCGGTCATGTTAGTTGGGTGAGGTCAGGTTGAGCGGGTCAGGTCAGGTTGGGCAGCTGAGGTTATGTTAATGTGGGTGGGGTCAGGTTAGGCGGGTGAGGTCTGGTTAAGGAGCTGAGATCAGGTTGGGTGGGTAAGGTCAGGTCAGGTGGGTCAGGTCAGGTCAGGTGGGTCAGGTCAGGTTAGGCACCTGTGGTCATGCCAGGTGGATGAGGTCAGGTTGGGCAGCTCAGATCAGGCTAGGCAGCTGAGATCATGTCAGGTAGGGCAGGTCCCGATGCTCATAATAGGGGCCAGCTTCCTACCACGTGCCGGACGGCCCACGTACTTGCATGAAATAGGACGAGCAAGGTGTCAGGATTAAAAGGCTGACTTAAGCACCAGATACTTCAACCGAGGTGGATCTTGCGGAACTCTGCTCACGCGGCGTCGAAAGGTCGACCGTCGATGGCACAAGACACACCCCACGTAAGTGCGAAAATTACCTCACTGATACCTTTTCGTCACAAGACAACCACTTACAGACCATCCAACTTGTACACACAATGGAGGTACGCTTGACATATACCAAATGAACTGGAAGTGAAGTCAGTATCACCGATGTTTTAGTAACATGACATACTGGACGGCACGCACGTCGTTTTGGTGACACCACATATGTATACATGACATATGTGTGACATATACAAAAAAACACACATATGTATATATGCTCAGGCAGACAGACTATATATATGTATATATATATATATATATATATATATATATATATATATATATATATATATATATATATTCAGAAGTCCACCGTGCATGCAGAAACGGGACAGGCCTTCCTCCGGTATGATGATATCCGGATCAACCGATTGCTGGTAGACATGCTATCATGAATGCAAGAGAGGAGTGCATACTCGGCCATTACACTGCACACTGCAACAGCTGGCACCGATTCTCGAGCAATGGGAACCTCCTGAGCGACGAAGACATGAAATAGTATTCTTGGGGGATGCCCCATACATTTACCCGGCGCCTGTCAATTTTACTCGTTATTGAACACCATGTCTGTGGATTACGATGTAAGCTTAATCACACACCCGCAATTCCTTTGATTACTCCGTCGAATTATAGACGCCCTTTTCGTTCCCACGTAGTTTGTTCAGCGTCTGACACATGAATTATCGCGGAGTCTCACCTTGTTTTCGTCAAATACCCGGAACACCAGGGTGGCAAACCGTGTCGGATCGCCCTGCGGGAAAAACTGCTTGTAGATGTTGATAAAGCCCTGGCGGAGAAAAAAGCAGGTTATGCATACAAATACACACTGCTTCCCAAACCTGTCTCGTCATTAGAAAAACATCATGCGTACAGAAGCAAACAATTAATTGTATGATGTCGCCACGAGAGGACTACAGTTTGAAGACCGCAAGAAAACACTGCAGCGCCATGTGGGAAGTTACACATCCATGGCTCTTCGCTCTTCGGTACAAACTTTCTTCAGGTGAACCCATCTTTGTGGTTAGAATTAGTTAGGCCAGTTACAACGCCATTCGTCTTCTGCAGTGTCGTATATATGTTGACTTCATGTTTATTTTGCTGCGGATCGTACTAAAACGCCAAATCCGAAACCGCTACCTCATTGAACGTGCGACAGCAGTCTACGGACAGGACAGCACCAGAATGAGAGCAGGGCTAGGTTCACACCGGGCATTGAATCGATGCATGGGAATGGAATGGGAATGGCGCTGCTGGTGGTGCTGTATGAATCGAGGGCCGCGAGCAATCCAGTATCATGTCGGTAAGGTACGGCATGCATGCCTGATGTTCTTGTTCTTGATGCGGCCACGCTAGAGGTAAAGCAAAATTTTGCAACTGGCCGTCGCGATAACCAGCTAGATTTAGTTTCTCCATATATTGTGGGAGCGAATTTGGTAAGATTATTAAGACATGTACGCTGCGGATAAAACCGAACCCAGACAGCTATTTCGGGACGACAAGGGAACACTGTTCATGTCAGTGTTGATTCATAAGGAGTAACCGTGACCTGGACTAGCTGTTCTTAGGCATAATGCCGCTTACGGCACCGGCCTGGGTGTTCAGGTGCAAGAGATATTTACCCTGATAATGAAACATCGAATTCTGGCAACTTTATGAAAAGTGAATACTTGGTACTAAGCACGTTGATACTCAAACCAGTTAAGCACTGTGGGACAGCATAGGAACGTTCTTCGTTTTAGCGCTAACCTTTGCCAGGTGGAAGGTATTTTCACTAAGTATTGATCTCCCCTTGCCACTTGGTCCCAAGCAGAGCTAGCGCCGCGAAGCAAGACCAGCGCAAAGTTTGGCATTTAAGGTATTTAGCGATGCGCATTTTGATCTTTTAAGTTCAAGCTGAACGTTGTTGACCTCAGGTGGTCATCATTGCCGTCAAAAATATTTTCAAATGAAGCAAAAATGCGTTGCAACATTTACAAACAAGGAACAGCACTCCTACGAAATGCATAGGCTGAAAATAGCATTCTGATCAGGATCGGAACAAAAATAAAATAGCGCAGACCAAAGTTTAAGCAAGGTTATCGTAGGTCAGTGATTTCAGACCACCCTGAAGACGTCACTGACATCTAAATACATATACATGAAAAATGTCATGTCTATGCATGCGGTCTTCACTATTAGCTTCGTATCCAGTGGTATCCAATTCGTGTCCACTACCCATGAGCGCCGACCTTCCGATTCGCCCACCCGTGGTGGCGTGGCGCCGAGTTACTCTAGACGATCGCTGTTTACCCCTGACTGGCATGGCTTGCGGCGGGTGACGGCGGCCACGCTAGAGGTCAGGTAACTTCAGAGAGCAGGACAGACCGTACCGAGCTTGGCGGTGGGTAGAGCTTTTACCTCCATAGTTTGCCGCTATTCCACGATCGGAGGCCCCGGTTATGGCTCACGCAACCAACACTGATTAGTGCGGGCGCTGATCCCAGAAATGCACCCAATTTAAGGGTTCGGACTAAATCGGCGAGTGACTCAGTGAATGCATCATAACCTATGCCATCCTAGTCGATTATTCATAGGTCATGGCGCCGCCTCTTATCACTGTCCTGGTGTCTCAGAAACGCCGCCTGTCGGGGCGGTGTCAAGCCTCCCTCGGCCGCAGAGTTAGTTCACCTGCATGTGTGACGCCAGACTACGTTGTTACCGCACGTGACTGTTGCTGGGGGCGCCAGCCAAGCCTCAATGTCATAGGGCATACAGTTTTGTTGACTGTGTTGCATGTCGTGCCTCGTTTTCATTACACGACACATTGGTGACAACACCAGCGATTTGCACGGAAAGCGAACGCCACGCATCTCATTGTGTTCCTTAGCAGGATGTCGCCTTTGCTGTGAACACCGTTTGATGGCGAGGGATATTTTTTCGAGTGTTCTCTAGCAATATCCTTAACGATGGTTGATACGGTGGAACGTAATCACATCGATATTAAGGAGAAGACAGACTTTATTTTGGTCGTTATAGGTGTAAATTATTTTTGTTGAAAAAAGTCTGGTCGAGACATACTAAGGCATGCTTATACATTGTGCGGCAAATAGCTGGCCCAGCAGAAGACCAAAATCACATTCCATTTGCAGTCGAAAAAGCATGTGACTACTACGGTCTTAAACATGGGGCTGGCTTCGGTGTGCTATCCGTGGCTAGCTACAACTTAGGAAACAATTAATAAGTCCACCACCCGCTGGTGCAGTTCCCGTAATGCGTCTATGTACGTATACCGAGAGTCTCAAATAGCTGCCACAACAAATACCGAGAGTCTCAAACAGCTGCCACAACAAATACCGAGAGTCTCAAACAGCTGCCACAGCTGAAATGAAGACATCCCAAAAATCACATAACCTCGCTTATCTTATTTTCATGAGGCTTGCCTTATGCAAATTGTTCGGGCATGACACTTTTATTCGACATGGGGCAGATGAAAAAACCCGTCTTATATGCCCGAACTCGCCTGTGCAGTTCTGCCCTTGCCGGCGCATTTGCCCGATCTCGCCCACTAGATTTGAGCCTATAGGACACTGCATATTGCTGGCGTTCGTGAAAATCCCGCAGACGCTGATTCAAATTAAGCGAGCAATCAGAACTTCCATGCGCAGCATGCCGTTTTACACATCGGCTCCCATGGCCCGAGAGGCCGAACGGTGTGCCATCACGTGTGCTGGATGGAAAGGAGGACACTTGGAGCAAGTCCTCTAGCGAACATCAAACTTGAGTATTTCACTCTTGTAGAATCATTACCGAATTGCTTATTTCTGTGCCCATGATCTCAGATACAAGATATGACGGCGGCATAAACTCAGGCCCTTAAATGATTATTCTTCATGGGGCACAGGATAGCGCAGAGGGTCGTCGCCAATCCCTGTATGAATCAAACCGGAAGCTGCAAATTCATTTCTGCTTTCTGTACGACCAATCCACTTCCCACGTCTTAAAAGCGACAATTCTAAAAATCCAGTTTTAGTGTTACTGGTGCTTTCCAGCAGTTGATTGGTCGTTATTAGCCTCCAGCAGCCAGTTGTGAGCCTCGACTTCCAATCCCTAATGCCATCTGGCCATTATTTACCGGCACTTAGGCGGCGCCCCTTCCGCAGAGGGCTAGATAATCGACGGCTAATTCAGGCTGGCCCAATGACTTGAGTTGTCAGTAGACGATTCGGCGAACTATTGAGGGGTATTGATCGATGGGACTGCTCAGAGGACTGACTCCGCTACCTTTACAGCGAGCAAATATCGGGCCCGTGGTCATGCTAACGCCCCTTATTGTCGGAGCAGAAATGGAAGCGGACACGGCAGTGGCTTTGTAACCTCCACCGTAGGCGGAGACTGTTGTTAGGTGGGCACAGAGACGGCACGATTCCCTTGCGGCCCAATAAAATGAATAAAAGCAATCAAATACGCAATAACCACCCGAAGTAATGCTACTCCTCAGTTGAGTCACTCGAGGCAATCTCATAGTAGATAAGTCCACCATAGTTTGAGTACGTACTGTTTTGCCGCACTATACAGCGTTTCTAGGTTTCCATGGTTTCCCCAGTCACCGCTTAGACATTGCTGAAGCGAGGCCCAATGCCAGGACATCGGGATTCAATAGCTCAGTGGTTATGTTGCTTCTTCCCCTAACTGCAAAACAAAACACAAGGCACATCAATGGCTTCTGGGCAAGCTGGGAAAATATTACTCCTAATCAAGTAGTTTGCGGACAGATGCCTAGAAATGCAAATGCCTAGCACGACTTTTAAATAAAGGTGGGCATTATTACTCAACCAAGTAGTTTGATTGCTCCTCTTGCTCGTAACTTAGGTACTTCAGAAAGGTAGCAACGCTAAATGTTACTTTGTTTTTTTACAGAAAATGTAACGCAAGCTGCTTCACACGTTTCCTAGGTCAGTCGTATGCTAATAAAACGCCAGTTCGAAACTGTGGTAAAGAGATGGTCTGCACTGCAGAGATGCAGAGATGGTCTGTGGTCTGCACGTGTGTAATGTACAAACAAACTCTCACTCTGCCCAACAGAACTGCGCTATTACCTGTGTTCATGTCGCATATAACACTTACCATTCACTGCGCTCACTCCTCACAGGCACGTTGCTAACTGCTCGTGCAATGTTTAAAGTGTTAATTACGCCGTGAAAAGATAATATCAGCAAATGCCTATAAACATGAGACTACCAGACGTTTCCTGAACAAAATTTGGGACTTTTCAGGCCAAAAATGATTTCTACACTTTCGAAACGTCGAGTTGCCACGGTCGGTTTCCTTCGCGTATGACATGCACAAGGCCTGATAAATCTCGCTGCTCTTGTACATTTAGCAAAGTCAACACAACATTTGCGTCGCAATTAGTCACGCGTCATTACGTCTAGAGATGGGACGCACATCACATACACAAGAAACAGTATGCTTTTCTTTGTCGCTGTTAAAATTCCTCTACATCTGCGCCTGAAACCAAAAGTCGCAAGGTAACAAAATAACAGAAGAACTCGCTAAATTCAAAAACTGTTATTCGATCCCTCACTCCGTTACTCAACACATTGGTTCGTTACTTAACGGAGGAACGAAGTAACGTGCGGTCCCCACCGATGCTACAAGAAATGTGGCTTCTTGCTGTTAGGAACTGCATGGAGCTGTAATCAGCGGCTGTGAAACCACAACTTTAGCCAATGCAGCATTGCTGGTAAAATCGCATGCAAACATAGTGGGCCCGGTTGACGGGCCCAGTTTAGAAACAGGTGTATTTCATTACAAACATTATGTAGTTATGCTTTGCATGGAATAGTTGTTCGGACTATTTTTCTCCTCTGATCTGTCAGTATGCACAGTACGTGCACCCTTCCACTCTACATACTAGCGGCACACAAGACGGGAACGACAGTCCAAACAACCATAACATCCGTAATGCGAAGCCTATGCTCTTCGACAGCAGTCAGGATGAGGAGGACATCGACGGTCCACCGAACACGACCGCTTCACCACCTGTTCTTCCTTTAATACACATCAACAGCAGAGTCTAGTGTGATCACAATGGCACCGAAAACTACTTTTTCTATATATATATATATATATATATATATATATATATATGTATGCCCATGTATATTTCTATATGTATGCATGTGTCTACATGTACTAGTCCTGTTTGACAGAAGATGATGGCGGGTTCATGGACGCATGTAAAACATCGATTTTAAAAGCAGATACGTTTTTGATGAGTTGCTAGATGTTTTGCAGTCACATGCCGTAAATGGAAATGTTTCGTCACGTTTTGCAATAACATTTGCCACTGGCAGTGATGTAACCATAATCTCCCCCACGAGGGGAGCAATATGTTTTTTACTAGGGGGCTCCGGCCAAGGGGGTCTCAGCTGCCTAGAACCCTGGCTATTTTTGGGGGACCGTTGAAGGCTTTGGGTGCCGTTTTGATGCTCTGAATGTTTGTTATATGTTTAAAGCTCTTGCAGGAGTACTAAACTACCAAGAAGTACTACAGACTTTGGCCCTAGAAGACCCGCCACCTCCAGCTGGGGCCACACCCCCAAAAGTTCGCCCTTCGCAACGCGATTGGACCATGACAATATGTTAATAGATCGGGACGAGAGCAGACGTCATGCAATTGGACCATGACAATATGTTAGTAGATCGGGACGAGAGCAGACGTCATGCAATTGGACCATGACAATATGTTAATAGATCGGGACGAGAGCAGACGTCATGCAATTGGACCATGACAATATGTTGGTAGATCGGGACGAGAGCAGACGTCATGCAATTGGACCATGACAATATGTGGGTAGATCGGGACGAGAGCAGACGTCATGCAATTGGACCATGACAATATGTGGGTGGATCGGGACGAGGGCAGACGTGTTGCGATTCGGGCAGTGCACAACGCCTACACCCACCTGCGTTCGAATTAAAAGGGAAATGTGGTGTCCACGTCCGGGGTATGCGACATCGATCACCCGTTCAACAAGAAAGCCACAATTGCAAAAATAGATATACAAGAACAGTGGTGAATATTACAGCAACCCAAGCACTCGAGCTTGTGACAATAGCAAAAGCATTACCCCGTCTCCACCAACTGGAAAGGCACAGCACTGCCCTGGTCGTATGATTCAGGTCAAATAACCGCCAAGCTTCATTTCTCACCTGTTCAGTGAGCAGACCATCCGGACAGTCCTTCAGGAAACCCTTGTGCCTGAAAGATTAAAGTGCATCAGCTTGAGCGTGAGTCATCTTGCTGTCCTCTCTCCCCCCCCCCCCCCCCATACAGAAAACAACGTGTGTTCTTTGCGGGATATGTGGATCAGTTCTTTTTCAGCTATTGCACATTGAGCTGCTTTGTAACGGTTTATTATATAGGTGAGATTTCTTGAACCGTGTGAAAACATGCATTGCTGAATAAGTCTCAACATGCTATCATTTGGCTGTTACATTATAATCTCAACTTGGGAACGAATACGCGCTGTTACACGCATTAGTATTTTCACGTCTGTGCTCTTTGCGCGTTATTTCCATTGTCTCGGTTGAAGAGCTAACGCCAGCGGGACATTCAGTAATTGACGGCCAGTAAGAGAATGATCGGTTGGTAAGTGAACAACTTTATTCATGACTATGAGCTTACGGGTTCACTGCTGCGCACATAGTGTCACCGCCCATGCCACTCGTTAAATAGCCTTTCTTTTTGTTGTTATCTCTTCGCGCAAAACCGCCAATCTACAGGAGCGTGGAACGTTTGTAGCTGAAGACTTTGACATGGCGGTTTGCCGCGAAGCAATAACAACAAGCTGACGTCATCATGGTCCTCGGATCCATTTCCCGCGAGGCCGCACAACGCCAAGAGAGACGGGTCGCTAAAGCACGCAATCTAAATGGTCACTGCCGACTGGTGTGGTGCCGTCCCACTGGAGCCCTCACCATTTATCTAGCGGGCTGCCTGGCCCAGCACCAAATGGCCAAAACGCGGCACTGTGGCGGTGCTGGCTGGACACGCGCCAGCGGACTGAGCTGCGGAGCGACAGCGCGCCGCCAGGGCGCCGTCGGATTGGGCGGGTCCGCGCGGAGCAGAAACTGGCCACATCGGTCAACTGGACAGAGATAGGGGCTGTGGCCTACTAAAAATAACTTCAGGTATATCCCTTTCATTAAGGCTGCATCACGTATATATGACTTGCTGAATAGTTTGTGAAATTGCACAGAAATTTATGGGTTTGAAAAGACAATACAGGAACGCAAGATGGAGAAGGAATGCCATTATTTTGTATACGCAAAAGCAATTGTCACTTGATTAATGTTAATACATACTTCTATGCAGATAATACATTTCGGTCATCGCATGACAGGTGAAGAGAAGGCCCTTAAGCCCGGGTCAAACTTTAATCTCATCTCGATTGCGTCTCATACGAAATAATCTTCCGACTGTGGCTGTTTCATAGCCTGGCACGCAAATAAGATAGCCTAGAGTTACTAATAATTTAACCATAGTCCTCCCTTCTGGTGTTGCGTGCGCTTCTCCGCGAAAATTGGCGGCAGGTTGTTGAAACATTCTGCCTTTTCCTAAGCGTCATTTGCATGTTGTGTCTGCATTGAAGCCACATGGCATTGTGGGAGAGGTCCCAGGGTCCGGTCTTCCTCAAAGGAGATTTGGTGATCGTGCTCAGATACCGATTGTCCGGGATCATCCTCATGTTTATTGGCGGTGCATGGTACTTTCGTTGAATGCACCAGTGGCAACAACAACAACTTGTTTATTACAACATGGCACAAGTAGCATGGCAGAAATGGCTCCTGGGCTCGAAAGGGTGCAGTTGGAAAACGGTGTAAAGTGCATCATATGTCGTCCATGAAGTCCTGTAAAGAATAGTTATGGATATCTAGATGCAAAGCTCTGCACTTTCACCAAAATATGGACAAATAGTTGACGCACGCAGTGACCAAGAGGTGTTTAAACTTTGCGAAATAGGGTGCGAATGGGCATAGGCTCAAACCTACACCAGCACTACGATGCTATGAATAGGCAATGCATGAAGTTATAAACACGGAAGAACGGCGATGGGACAATTGTTTGAATCATCGCCCCGTCTCATGTGCTAGCATGCACGCCACATTTCGGCCAGCGGACCATATGGCCGCCGTTAGGTGCAACTTGGTGTAACCTGGTTGGGTTGTGTTTGGCGTGCGCTTAACAGTAAATATTTTCACCCGGAAAGGGAGGGAGGAGTCTGCCCCAATGGTCCGAAATAGGGTGCCCAGGGATAGGGTCGCCGGGGATTGGATTATAAGGGATGGTGTCACCAGGGAGAGGGTCAAAGGGATAGTGTCATTAAGAATAGGGTCACCGGGGAGAGGATCACAAGGAAAAGTGTTACCAGGATTAGGATCATCGGAGAGAGGGTCACAGGGGATATTATCACCAGGAATAGGGTCACTGGGGAGAGGGTCACCAGGCATAGTGTCACCAGGATTAGGATCATCAGAGTGAGGGTCACAAGGGATAGTATCACTAGGAATAGGGTCACTGGGGAGAGGGTCACCAGGCATAGTGTCACCAGAATAGGGTCGCCGGGGAGAGGGTCACAAGGGATAGTGCCACCAGAATAGGGTCGCCGGGGAGAGGGTCACAAGGGATAGTGCCACCAGGAATAGGGTCACTGGGGAGAGGGTCACAAGGGATAGTGTCACCAGGAATGGGATCACCGGGGAGAGGGTCACAAGTGATAGTGTCACCAGGAATAGGGTCACCGGGGAGAGGGTCGCAAGTGAAAGTGTCACCAGGAATAGGATCACCGGGGAGAGCGTCGCAAGTGATAGTGTCACCAAGAAAAAGGTCACCGCGAATAAGGTCGCGGAGGAGCCCAACCGGTGGAGGGCAAAGCACTTTGCGGGGAATTTTGGCAACTTCGCGGATAACTTCCCGCATTATGCTGAGTTATCACACCCCTGAATTTGTCATGCAAAGAAACATTGCTTTTTTAAAAGCAAGCAATTTTATGCATCCAGCAAGGTTGCCTTGCAATTCGTGACCAGCAACATCGCTGTTGCTGACCATGATTCAGTATTCTACGTTCTATGCGACGCTAGTGATACCCTTGACATGCAGACAGGCACCTTCATAGACGGCCAACAGTCTCGTCTCAGAGTCCTTCCCATACACTGCACAGCAGTACGGGGGCCGACAACAGGTTGGTATAACCGGCAAGCGAGCTTTAACTTTTGAAAGAAACGACCAAAACAAAATTTAGTTGCTTGCATCATTTGCCTTTGTTCGGGACTTGTTACTTTCCCAGCGCTGAAAGATTTCGTAGCTTGTTTCTGTCCCTGGGGGAATGACCTCGGAAGTGTCTCGTTCATAAAACAGGAGTGGACGACCGGCATTTAATCACGGAAATCTCCATTGCATATCTGTGTGGGATCCCATAATGAATTTGACGGATCATCTCGGAAGTGTCTAGATAGCATTCATCGTAGTCTTTTGAACCAGCTCACGTATTTGGAATCCAAACATGTCCACAATGAATACGTTAGCGAGCAAAATAGTGCAGACAAGTTATCGTAAAGGCGAGGCCCCAGCTCCTCACAAGAGCGAATCACAAATGCTGCTGTAAGTGACTGAACTATGTTTGCTGCATTAGGACACATCTTTGGACGCGACATATGTGCCGAAGGTCTTCATAATATTTATTTTTGCAAAGTTGAAGAGTTTCATTTGCTAGAGAACATAAACCCCCTTATAAATACACAAAAGTCATAAACATCTGGTGAGCATGTGCATCAATTTCACCAAGCCCATCAGACGAAGCCATGCCAGTGGACCGTTTGCTACTTTATGAATCCGTTCCTGTCATCATATTTTTTCAGTTATTGTCGACTTGGGCGTTTGATGGCATTGGCTGAAGGATATACATTTTTGTCGTAACGTGCGCAATTTATTTCACATTAACTACCGGCTCTCGAAAATGAGTGGGAACGAATAGTGTTCTAGTGCAAATAGTGTTCTTAAAAACCCCGACGGCTTCTCAGATAACATAATTCAAGCTAGAGTGGAGACCTGACAATAGTGACGTTTAGCATTGGTGTGCAAACTAAGCTGACATTGTCAAATGACTGCTAGAATTAACAAGATGAAGGTTGGATGTGTTGACGACCAGTTATCGCTCTATTTGATAGCGATTATTTTGAGGGTGACTTTTTAGCATAAATGGTTTGGGCCACTTGAAGTCTGTTGATAGAAAACGTTAAAAGACGATTTAAGCCACCAGGATTGCTTTATCTCTTTGTGGGCGGCCTATTTGCAGCCCTGGTAGAGCAAGCGTAGCCAGTAGTGTCATGTACCAAACAGTAGCAGATTACAGACAGCGCCAGTCGCTGCTTACCTTTAGGAACTTCCAGTTAAGTTTCAGGTACTTACCATTGTCTTATCTCTTTCTCCGAAACTGTAACACAGCGGAGAAACGCACGTTAGCACTGCATCGCAAGGCCGTGTAGACACTATCAATCAAACGGCTAATAAAACCATATTTTCACACATTGCAAAATTACTTTGCGATAACAAATTGTCGCACCATTTCAAACAAATAGTCTGTAGGTTTTCTTCAAAAGTCTAACTTGTCTTTTTTGCATCATTCTCTCTACCTCTCTTGCTCTCTCTCTCTCTCTCTCTCTTCTCTCTCTCTCTTCTCTCTCCTCTCCTCTCCTCTCTCTCCTCTCTCCCTCTCTCCTCTCCCTCTCCTTCTCTCTCTCTCTCTCCTCTCCATCTCTCTCTCTCTCTCCTCTCTCCTCTCCTCTCTCTCCTCTCTCCCTCTCTCTCTCCCTCTCTCTCTCTCTCCTCTCCTCTCTCCTCTCGCTCCCTCTCTCTCCCTCTCGCTCTCGTCTCTCTCTCTTCTCTCTCTCTCCTCTCCTCCTCTCCGCTCCTCTCTCTCTCCTCTCTCCTCTCTCCTCTCTCTCTCTCTTCTTCTCTATCTCTCCACTCTCTCTTTCTCTCCCTCCCTCTCTCTCTCTCCCCCCTCTCCCTCTCTCTCTCCCTCCCTTCCCCTCCCTCTCTCCTCCTCCTCTCTCTCTCTGTCTCTCCCCTTCTCTCTTTCTCTCTCTCTTTATCTCTTTCGTCTCCGCACAAGCCCAATAGGTCGCAACGTTCCCTTCTGGATTTTCATTGACATGGACCGTCTGTGAGAGCCCGAAAGAGTGAATAAATCATGAACAGCTCGCTCCACTGGGTTCATAATCATGTTAAAGCTATAAAACCAAAACTCCCCCGAACAAAGGTAGAAGAAACTGCACGGAGTAACGGTAATTACCTGGAGAACGTTTGCCAGAGATGCCCTCTCCTTTAGATCGGGGGTAGGGGTGGGGAGGGGAGGGGCAGTTGTAACTCAGGGCACAGTGTCCAGCCAGGTCAGGGTGCATGCATGCCTGAATCTCCGATAGGCGACCGACCGTGCCTCCAACCCTCTTCACCCTCCGGGAAAAAGCGCGTCGCGGCCGTGCTGAGCCGATCCGGAGCATCCCGCGGCTGACGGCAGCACTCCCACCTCCGGCGCGCGACAAATGAGCTCAATAGCGGGCTTAACGGGGCCCTCCGTCAGCAGGAGCGGCGCCGGCGGGCGGGCCGGGGCCCCCGCGCGCGCCCGACACCGCCCCGCCCGGCGACCGGACGCACCATTTGTATTCAGCGGCGCCGCCGCCTGTCGTCCGGCAACAGTTTTGTCCGATTGATGGGAGCGCGTGTCCCGCGGCGACCGGATGGTTACGGCCTGTATTAGCCGACGGCGGTGTGGACAGCGGCACCGACGGCCTCGAGATGGCGGAGGGAAGGGCACCGACAGCCCCGGAATGGCGGAGGCAAGGGCACCGACAGCCCCGGGATGGCGGAGGCAAGGGCACCGACAGTCTCGGGATGGCGGAGGGAAGGGCACCGACAGCCCCGGGATGGCGGAGGCAAGGGCACCGACAGCCCCGGGATTGCGGAGGGAAGGGCACCGACAGTCTCGGGATGGCGGAGGGAAGGGCACCGACAGCCCCGGGATGGCGGAGGCAAGGGCACCGACAGCCCCGGGATTGCGGAGGGAAGGGCACCGACAGTCTCGGGATGGCGGAGGGAAGGGCACCGACAGCCTCGGGATGGCGGAGGGAAGGGCACCGACAGCCTCGGGATGGCGGAGGGAAGGGCAAACTAAACTCAGCTTGTTGGGACCTCCTGGGATACCTCAGCACAAATAATATACAGTTAGGAGGACAAGATTCGAATCTAACCAAAATAAAGTTAACTCGGATCCAGATGCAAACAGTACAAACTTCCGCACTGCGTCCGCCTGCAACCTTTTTGTTGCTGCTTAGGTGAAGGCTTAGGTTCAGCAATTAAAAAAGGGTTAACATGTTGAGGAGCCGCTGGCAGCTGTCCTCCCACAGTCACAAACGTGGAAAGTAAGTGCGCCGACTTGTTTTCCACTGTGCTGGCCTGTATCGGAGATTAATACGATTTCTGTTTCCATAAATACATTCCAAAGAGCTTGAATGGATAGTTTCGGATTCAGAGTACCCTAGAAGGTAAGCAAAGCTCGTTGCATGTATCCATAATCCACGACCACCACCCAGCTGAACAGATCATGCTTGCTTCCTTTCTTTCGCCAAAGAGGACTGCGGAGGACTTTACATGTCAAACAATGCTGGGCCACGGCTCCCTGGGCCCTGGGTTGAAACTCACTGACCAGTGCTAGCTTGCCTTTCTATCTCAGTCAAAGGGTGCAATGTACCCGTCTTGGGAATTGTATCAGGTGCCACTGGATAACGGACTCAGCATGTTTCCACAGACTACGGAGACGGCGTGAAGATGACTGCTGTTCCATATGCCGACATAAGTCACTGACTCATGGACGAAATTATGTGGGACTCTAAAATGGTGAACCTCGTCTTGAACTGTGGAACCCTAAAATGATGAGCCTCATCTTGAGCCTCACAATGTTACCAGAAATGAGCTCACACACATAGGGCACAACCTCCTCTCTGAATCTGGTGTATCTAGCACCGTTAGGTTTTTAATCTCAGGTCAGACTGACCTCACCTGAGCTCACCTCACCTCACCTCACACTGGAACGACAATCCGAGCGCTGGTTAACAATGCATAAAACAATAACAATTCAATACGAAATACCAAGTTTATAGAATTATGGGTTTTTCCCATACATATGCTTCAGATGAAAAAATGAAAAGAAAGTAGGGGTCAGCTTTGATCTAAAGGACTGATTGACTGACTGGAGGACCCCCCGCAAACAAAAAAATAATCAGTACCGAGGCACATCTAAAACCAGCTTTTCAAACAATGAGCTTGTTGGGGCTGTAAACTAGCTTAAAAAATGAAGAAAACATTGTTATCAGAGAATGAAATAAATAAGTGTTTGCTCGTTATGCTTATGAACAGAACTGAGAATTGACAGCACTTCGCATGAGGCAGGTGTGGAAAGCTCCACTCCAACTTAAGTTAAGTGTAATATTCACACCCACCTCCAGATCCTCCCCCCCCCCCACCTTATGTGATAACTCACATTACCTGCAATGTTTGCACTAGACACTGCTGGGCCGCATCCATTATAGCATATACTGCAAGGAATATGCAAGTATATCAATATGCTTTTGTTTCGTCAGTTTGTCAGGTTGATTGGCATCTTCTGATTTACGAGTATACCAAGCAATTCGCCACAAAAAAATAATCGCCTTTCGCCAAGGCGGGCTTCGACGGAGGTATCCTGGGCAGCACGTCAGGTTACCATTCAGAACGTATATTTGCTTTTGAGTGCTATCTTTTGTTGGAATTATTGCAGTGGGCACAATGAAAAATAAAATAAATAACAAGTACGACTAGAAAAGGATGTGAAATGTGCTTGGTATAATATATGTGTATATATATAATATAATATATATATATATATATATATATATATATATATATATATATATATATATATATATATATATATATATATATATATATAATAAATAATGTGCTATCAGTAAAGATAGCTGTATACTAGCCGTTTTCATGGTGGACAATGCGCTGAGGTTTTAAAATATTGTGCTCAATCTTTGAATGAGGTTTTAGTGTTACTAAGCACTTAAGCAAGGAAGTGGTGGCTTAAGCAACTCTGTTTACATTCAAAAGCTCAACCACATTTATCAAACTCAGAATAAGTAAACTATACAAAGCGAGACTGTTTATAGACATTTGTTTCTCCAGCCAAGGCCTCTAAGGAACACGAATTCTACGATGATACCAGACCTGACAACGGTGCTGATCTGCCGACGGCGTCAGACACTGCCATTATGCCGCACCATTGTTGTTTAGGTCGGTGTCGTTTGGAGCAAGGCGGGCTTTGAGGAAAATTTATTAAAGGATCACTTATCGCCGACCATGCTTACGTATCTAAGTTCTGTAAGTACTGCAAAAGAGAGCGACGCGGCCAGGACACAGGGCCATGTTTTACTGCGTCATGCATGCAGGTAAATGCTTTACGTGGCTACATATACATATCACATATACATGCATACGTATATATATATATATATATATATATATTATATATATATATGTAACATATAAGTGGCTACGAGCAGGTTTTTAGATATCTGCAACACATTTTTAGACCAAAACCGTTTATGAAAGGTTTGACCTCAGGAAATCACGCTGACGTGTTCACGCGAAATCACGTGTTTTTTAAGGCTTTGAAATGTTTCGCATGCTGATCCGACGTGGAAACGGCCACATCCAAAAGATCAGGAACAGTCCACCCGGCCACGCCAACGACGTCAGTAAAGCTGTCGTGCCGCAAATCTGGCTCACCATAACAGAAACCGCCCCGTCAATTTTGAGGCACTGCTGCTGACGGCCAGCCCGCTGCCTTTTCTTCCCGCTCTAACACAACGCAGAGCCTCTCTGCGGACAGGGCGTGGACAGGCTAAAGCCGTCTCTCTCGGCACCGTAAGCCCGTCAACCGAATTTCTCGGCACGAAATCCCCGCTCTGGCACGCGGCTGAGTAGGTGGAGCACTCCTGGACAGCTGTGGCTGTAGCCCGAAGGCCATCTCGGCTGGCCGTTGCCACGACTTGTTGGTAAAATAACGTAGCATCATGCGGGTAACGATGAATTGAATCATTCATAGGCACCGCGAACATTCGCCGTTTTTTATAACTGCGCCTGGTCAGGACTGAGGAATGCAGACTCTTTGATCGCGCAGACTCAACACTTCTTATAGTGATGCGGTATGAACTTGCAAGCATGCACTGTCGATATGTGGTGGTTATATTGCATTCAAAATACATTCTAACGAGAGAGAACGAGCCTCATCGGTTGCTGCCATGGCCAAATTCTTCTCTCGATAAAGAAATTGGCGCTGGTGTTAGCGGAAACCTTCTTCCCTTTATGCTGCAAACATTTGAAATACAA